GGATGCAAAGCGTACAATTGGTTTGATGGTGTGTGCTACCTCAAGAATGCCCAGGGGCAATCGTCTCCTTTGCCTGGTGCTGTTTCTGGAGTCCTCTCAGTGGTGTCTCCCACCAGCAAGCCAAACCCTGCACCTACCAAACCAACTCCTGCACCTACCAAACCAATGCCTTCGACCGATAACTTTTACATCCACCACGATGGGTACTCGCTCCTGTTCAACTGCGCGCGCCGCACTGCGGACCGTTGGAACTACACCCTGGGCAAGGAGAAGGGCAATCCGACTCGTCCGTCTGCATTCTACTCCGATCCGGATGTGTCCAAGGACTGCCAGCAAAAGTCGGTCAAGCCGTACCCCTCATCTGCGTCAAGTGGCATCTCGTACGACCGTGGCCACTTGGTTGCGAGCGCCCACATGACGGACAGCGTCGAGCAGCGCCGCCAGTCGCACTACATGACGAACATCGCTCCACAAGTAGCATCGTTCAACCGCGGCATCTGGGAGAAGACGGAAGGCATCGAAGCGTGCCATCGCGATCTGCAGCCCCTCTCGACGTGGGGAGGTTTGATTTACACGGACGCGTCGAACGACTACTTCTTGGAGTCCCACGGCGTCCAAACACCCGAGTTCTGGTGGAAGGTCGTCCTGTCCAAGAACGCGGATGGCACCGACAAGATCATTTCGTGGATGTTTCCCAACCGGGACGGGCTCGGCGCGTTGGACGAGTATTTGGTGTCTGTGCACGACATCGAGGCCAAGCTCAACGACAACTTGGGTCCGATCCCGGTGCCTGCTGCGCTCAAGTCGTTCAAGGCACCGTCGAGCTGGTTACTTCCCCAAGGGTGCAGTCGCAAAGGCAGCAAGGAGCCGCCCACGACTGCGCCTTCCCCGGCCACACCCACTCCTCTGAACCCGACGGTTGCTCCCACTAATGCACCAACCGGAGCTCCAACTCCTGCGCCTACTCCGCCCCCCACGTCGGCACCCACGAGTGCCCCTACCGACACCCCAACCATTGCACCCACGTCGGCTCCGACTGACGCTCCCACGGATGCACCAACGTCTGCCCCCACCCCAGCACCCACTCAAGCAACCGCCTCGCCACCACCTACGAGCCCAACCTCGCCCAACTTTGATGTTCGCTACGACGGATTTTGGCTCTCGTACAGCTGTGAGCGTCGCACCGCCGACCGTTGGGCCTACACCTTGACCAAGGACAAGAAGAACGCGGTCAAAACGGCCCAGTACACTTTCGACAAATCGATGAAATTGGAGTGCCAGCAAAAGTCGTTGAAGGGGTACAACTCGTTGTACGACCGCGGCCAACTAGTGTCTGCGGCGCTCATGAGTGACAGCAAAGCGCAGAGCTCCCAGACGTTCTTCATGACGAACGTGGCCCCTCAGTACGGCCAGTTCAACCAGGGTTTGTGGAGCCGCGTTGAAAAGGTCGAAGCGTGCTATCGTAATGCCCAGAACGTGTCCACGTTTGGGGGCCTCATCTTCACGGCCGAGTCAAACGACTTGTTTATGGCGTCCCACGGAGTTCGCACGGCCAGCTTTTGGTGGAAAGCAATTTGGACCAAAGATTCGAACGGCAGCGACATGATCCTCGCGTGGATGTTCCCCAACGAAAAGCTCGTCAACGACGCCAACAAGTATTTGGTCTCGGTTGCGGAAATCGAAGCCAAGCTCAACGATGACCTGGGGCCGATTCCCGTGCCGGCCAGCCTCAAGAACCAAAAGGCACCGACGAGTTCTCTTCCTGGGTGTTCCATCTAGTTCGTTCGACACATTGAATTTATCACCATAATCTGCATCCCCAACAACGTTTAAGAACTCCTGACGAAAGCTGCACTTTGACACGGCAACCAACTCGTGCACGAAGATGGCATACTAAGCCACAAACACTTGCACTGGGTTATTCATCCATTCCTGAAAAACTAACAACTGTCCTGGTCTTGCTGTGTCGGGGGAGGGTGCATATCTATCTGTTGCACTCATCTGCGCCCCCAAGCTCTCTTGGTTGGGAAAAAAACACGAGATGATTTTGTCCTGGTCGCTTTCGTCCTTCATCAACACGACCTTCCACCACTAGTCGGGTGTGCTGATGCCGTGGCTCTCGAAGAAGTAGTCGTTCGCCACGTCCGTGTACACGATGCCGCCCCACGACCAAATGCGGTTCAGATTGCGGTAGCACGCCTCGATGTCTTCCATGTTTACCCAAATACATTGGCTGAAGCTCGTCACTTGGGGCGCGATGTTGATCATGTCATAGGACTTGCGCGCCTGAATTCCTGGTCATGAAGCTCGCGACCAAGTAGCCTCGGTCGTAACCAGCTCGGACGCTCGCATACGAATTGACCGTGAATTGATGGCACTCTTTCGGAATCGTCGGGTCGACGGAAGATGACGGCGGTCGAGTTGCGTTCAGCTTGTCCGTGGTAAATGTCACGTACACCGGTCCCGTGCGGCGACCGCCGTTGTACGACAATGAATAGCCACCATCGTGGACCCACCACGACGACTGATGAACGCTTGTGTCCACGCGTTCGTCACCACATGCATCCGAACTTGTGGTACATTCGCCAGCACCCGGCGCATTTTCGTTGTGATATATAACACGTTGTTTTCGCTTTATCGTGTCTGACCTCATCGAGGAACCATATGGCCATAAATTGAACTTAAACTTGTGATACGACAAATATCCGACAAATACGTAACACCAATTGGCCTACTTTCCATAATTTGCACTTTCATTGGACAACGGACAAAGCAGAGCAACGAAGCAAACGATCCAGGAGTCGTTCCGCGGCGCGTCCACACGCCGGACGTATAACACCTACCAAACGCAGTTTGAAGCGTTCTGTACATTTTAGAA